CCTCTCTCGACCACCCCCCTTTCACCAAGCCCCGCCCCTTCACCAGACACCTCCTCCAAGCCCCGCCCCTCTGTTCTGTTAGCGCCCCCTACCGAGCGGGCTGCGGCACTGCTGCTGGAGTATTTTGGGGTACTTTGGGGGGTTTTGGAGGGGGTTTGGGGTGTTTGGGCGTGGTTCCGGCGTGTTTGGGAGTGTTTCGGGCGGGATTCTTGCCCACACCGCGCGTGGGAAGGCGCCCCCGCAGTGATGGCCGGGCGGTGCCGCCCCCACGGTGCCCGGTCCTGGCCGGTGCCAGGGCAGGGATGGGTGGCATGGATTGCGGCTGGGGACACGCTGAACTGTTTCCCTTCGCAGCATCTCCCCCTGCCCTCGCCCGCAGCTCTCGGCTCTGTGCCTGTGCCGAACAGGGGGCCTGGGGGGCAGCGCTACCCGAATCCCCAGTGCTGGGGCTTGGGACGGCTCGGGGGTCCGTTCCGTCCCCCTGCACGGGGCAGGACAGTCCCCCGGCCCGGCCAGCCCAGCCCTGGGTCTGAGCACGTTCTTCAGTGCATCACTGAAACCCTGCAGAGACAAGCTCTGGGGTTAGGGAGGAAGGGGAGGGTTTTCCTGGCCAGCTTTGAGTGGAAATTTGCTCAGGTAGGAGTTATCAGGGGAGCAGACATACATATCAGTAGGAATTATTATGGGCCATGAGTTGTGGGCTCAGGACAAAGCGGAGTCATGGCAGAGCTGGCAGGGCTGGGGGTCCTTGCACGGCCCAGGACCATCTGGTGCAGGGTCTGCTGTGTGGGACCCACAGGGGCCTCACCTGGAGCACCCTCCCCGAGGGACACACTGTCACATCCTGATGGGCTCCACGTTTGTCTGAGACACCGAGTGACACTTGCCTGGAACAGGCAAATACAAGTGTAATTTAATTACCTTCTGCTCCGTGCTGCTCCCCGGAGTGGGCTTTCCAAAGGCAATTTGTAATTGTTTCTTAGTACTCATAAGATGTGGATTTAAGGCGTGATTTTGTTTGGCTGGAAAATATTGAAGACTTCCACTGTGTAAATATTTAACTGCTTCCTTAGGGGGAGCCAGGCTGTGGTGCCACTGACTCCTGATCGGCAGCCACGGAGGTCGTGGGTGCACAGGGGCTGCAGAGGGAAGAGCTGCTCCCTTTGGGCACGTCTTGCAGCCACAGGTGCTGCCCCTGCTAACTGCAGGTCATCGTGCTGACAGATGACATCCACCATGCAAGGCCTCAGGGGTGTTCCTGCCCCTGCCCTGGGGTGGGCAACATCCACTCCCAGTGCTGGACACCTGCATGGAGCTGACCCCCTTGTCCTGCTGCGTACCCCTCCTGTTCCCATTCCATCCCGGCGGGATCCCCCTCCCGGGTAGAACACCCACCAGTCCCTTACCTTCGTCCTTCAGGTCGTTCCTCAGGCTGTTGGTGGTGGAGCAGACCACAGCTCACCCTGAGGGCCACGTGCTGCTGCCCAAAGGAACAACTATGTCCTGCTCCAATGGTGCCTGCCTTAAAATCACTGTGCCCGGAGGGACGGGCAGGGGGCATAGGGGAGGGTGTGTTCCCCCATCAAATAACCCACCTCCCTCCATGAGTGGCCTCCTGTGAGCCTGGGAGCAGATCCTCACACACAGTGTACTGTGAGACTGCGCTGTGTGCCCGGGGAGCTGCTGGGGGCTCTCGCCC